TTTGTTGATTAGAATGTACGTACATTGGCATGTCCATGATAAAACTTAAAGGCAGCATTTCACTAGTACTATCAGATAGGAAAACATTTTCAAAAGGCCATAGTTCTTCAGCAAACAAACTGACTTTGTTCCTGGACTGGAGTATTTCCTTTCTATATTATGAGGCTAATTCATGAAATTACATTAATGTCTTCAATCTAACTTGTAGGAGCCTGCAGTTCAAGATTAGCAAAATGTACATCATGTAAAACTAGTAGGTATGTCAATGAATCAATGAGTTAATCTAAAATGTATGCTATTATTCCTACCTTTTAAAAAAACACTGCATCCACCTAGTTGACTGGTGTTCATGTAATGAGTAATCCAATAGTGTTTCAGTTCTATCTAAACTATGCTATTTATGACTTCAGATCACACTTACTGTCACCACTTGATAACTCTTTTCTTTGAAATCAAATGTCTCTGTATTCTATGTCCACAGCTGGTGCTTTAGAGGGGTTACAGGTGGTGTCAACGATATTTTTTGTAGACAATTCCACAAGACAATAATTTTGTGTAAGTATTAACATTAAATTGTTTCCTCCTAGTATCTTAGATGCTGGTTTGACACCAAACTATTGCCACATGGTGCCATGCTTAAAATCTTATTTGTTCTCACTTTACAGATGATGAAGTCCGAATAGTTACAACACCAGCATTTGCCGAATCTGTAACAGAAGGAGATGTGAGGTGGGAAAAGGGTGAGACAATTTGAATGTTTTTATTTTACTCAGCATCTCAAATTCTGAGTTTCCACTCACCAGTTGCTGGCAACTTTAAGATTTTCCAACATCAAATAATGTAGCTCTTTCCAGACATGGCTTTAAAAAAATACAAACCATGAATTATTCTGTGAAGATGGTCACTGACAAGTATTAGTATTAGACATGTAGAAAAATTGTCTTGCAACACTTTTCTTTTTCCTCTTCTTCTTTCGATAACACTAATCCTCAGAAGCACTAATGTGTATAGTGTTCCAGTCAGGAACATAGATAGACATTCTAGGAGCTTATGCAGAACATGTACAGAAGATACAAACAATGTGTCATTAAAAATGTCTTTGTATTATGTTTATTTCACATTAACTTTTGTCGGAAATGTAGATTTCAGACATTACATCACGTGATCGTGAGCTTTGCCTTTCTATTGTAAAACATTCCTAGAAAGCAACGCATCAAAAGGTCAATTGTAGTTCGTGTCTATGATTGCATAATCCCTATGACATGACATTGGTTTTACCTTTATTTGACAAAATCTCAACTTTAAAGTTAATTATTGTCAAAAATATAACATTAAATCACTGCTGTTATGTTCATAGTCACATTCAATTTGGTACTACATAATCAATCTATTGTATTTATCTGGGTAAGAGCCCAGGGTCCTGAACATAGGGATGGGCTTATGCCTGGACATCCCCTGCAAAAAAAAACGAAAATTGACAACACGCAGATTGAACTGCGGAAGGGAATAGAATGGCAAATGAAACCATGCTACAGAAATGAACACTATGCAACATTAGAAGTATAACAAAAATAATTTATTGCTTATAATGTGACAAATAAACCAGAAATATTAAAAATCAACAGTGAGGAATCATTTGAATTAGGATTTCTCCTCCGACAAACACGCTCAACACGCGTGAACTCAAAATGAACTATAATGTCAGGGGTTGAACTGCATAAAATTATTTCCGGTTTTAATGAATTATGAATCAACTGTCATACAATATCAATAATAATTTACAAATGTACACAGTAAAAAAAAAAAAACTTCTCAAAATCATAACTGTCAGTCAAAACCATCAATGTCCAAGTCGGTGTCACTGTCTCCGTCAAACAAAATTTCTACAGCCCTGGCTTTGCCACAATTTGGACTTGGCACTTTTAATCCACGGATTTCGCTGTCTGCCAACTTGGAATATTTAATTCATGTCTAATAACATCATAAGAGACAAGAAAAATGGGGTTGCGACTTTACCGGTACTACAAATTATGGCACACAATGCTTTTGTTTACAGTCTGCCAATCATCTTTGACCTTTAAGCATCTGCTTTACTGATTGGCTAAAAATGACATCATTACTAGTGTTTCATCATAGAGGTCAACACCTGCAGTTGGACCACCCAAAACGAAAGAAACTATTGCAGAAGCTAATCTAAAATTGTATACATTTTTTTCTAGCTGGATTAAAAAGTAGACCGCGCATCTTTCTCCAAAAAAATCACATTAACGAACCTCGTGCGCCAAATATAGTTTTGTTTTTTTTTTCATTTTATTAGTAACGAAAGTATATTCTAAATAAAAGAGGTTTTAAATAACAACGAACGCAACTGCATTGCTTAGTAGCAAATGATCGTGGTAGCGCAATCCGGTCATGCTGCGTTTTACAATTGTTGATTATTACCTAGTAATGATTATAATAACATGCAAAAAATAAATTCGTTATAAATTGCAAATAAATTTCAACTTATTTCATCGTAAGCAAATGATTCTAATCGCATTTTAAACGCTCGATGCTGTAGAAATGAATATCCACCATGTTTGACCTGAGATAGTGTTCTTTGACCTGAGAGGTCAAATCACTAATTAACCAATGAAAACGATGGATGATGCCAACGTGTTCAAATTATCATAGAACATTTAAATATGTTAATATTATTGAACCTGTGCGGAAGAGATTTGCCGATGTTGTTGTACGATCTTTTGGCTTGGATTTCGATTGGAAAGCGGCATGATTTGTTTTTTAAATAAAAAAATTAGTTGTTTTCAAAAGATAAACTGAGCATTTAAAGAATAATTAACATTATTTACAGCGAAGCTAACCCATTCACGCTAGTCGTAATAAACATCAATACTCTTGATTAGGCGTCAATGACTACGGCGAAACTTTTAGGCATCATAAAAGATTAAAATAACACCTTAAAATACTGCCGAAAAAAACACCCTGGGCAATTTCTTGGTCCCATTTTATTTTTTTAAAACTCGAACTGCCGTTTAACGGCCCTGGTTGAATTAATAGCAGAATCCGGAATATACTCTACTTGGGTCTTTAACACATGTATCTATTGTAAGGAAACACAAAATCAGTTTTAGTGGGCCGTTTGAGAGATCCTCACAAAGACTCTTATCAGTGTGAACGCAATAGAACTTGCTACATTATATCCGATTTAGCTGAAATGTATATTCGAGAGTGACTTGTCAACATTGCAAACCAGTCAGGTTGAAATTGAAACTAGGTACCCTCTCAACTCAAATCTGTCTTTATATATTTGACATGTATTTGGCTGATCTTTTATTAGTCCCCGTTCGGACGAAGTCCGAAAACGGGGACTTATAATTCGGTCTCCGTGTGTCCGTGCGTCCGTCCAGAGTCATATCTCAGAATCCCTTGGACCGATTCCGTTCATTCTTTGCATGTGCCTAGTACTTTATGTGGGACATATGCACATGTAGTGGTTTAGTGATTCGATTCAAAATGGCCGACTGGCAGCCATCTTGTTTTTTGAAAATGTTGTATTTTGGACATGCTTTGTCAGTTTTCATTCAAACTTGGTACATAGATTATACATGTTAGGATAAATGTCCATGATGATTTATTTCACAATTGGATCAAAGATGGCCGACTGCAGCCATCTTGTTTTTTGAAAATGTTGTATTTTGGACATGCTTTATCAGTTTTCATTCAAATTTAGTACATAGATCATACATGTTAGGATACATGTCCCCGACCGTCCGTGAGTTCCTGAGTCTGTCCGTCCGACCGTCCGTCTGTCCGTCCGACCGTCCGTCTGTCCGTGCGTCAGTCTATCCAACGTCATATTTCAGAATCCTGTGGACCGATTCCGTTCATTATTTGCATGTGCCTAGTACCTTGTGTGGGACATATGCACATGCAGTGGTTTAGCGATTCGATTCAAAATGGCCGACTACAATTTGTTTCACAATATGGTCATGGATGGCCGATTGACAGCCATCTGACTTTTTGGCCTTACTACTATATTTCCACAATTTATGTACCATTTTCATTCGTATTTGGCACATACATCATACATATCAGTGTGCTTCATAATCAGATCAAAGATGGCTGAATAACGGCTGTTTTTATTTTGGCCATATTACTATGACACGAAACACGTGTTTTGATGTAAATAAACAATCTGTTGTATACGCCACTTGGAACTCAAGTTTCAAGGACACACTCGCGACAACCCCTCCGCTTTAATATGACGAGCACAAAGAGAACTTAACGGGGACTGTGTCATTTTCAATGACTTGTTGAATGCTGATGCGTGAATAATGTCTTATTGATGCCATGAAGTGATTCATTTCATTTTGGGCTGCAAAGTGCATTGAGTTTTTCATAAAAAACTAAAACTAAGCTAGGCCACACCGACTTAATTGTATGGATGACATCCACGCGCACATTAGTTTTTGCCTTTTCTCAAAAAAAAATAAATAAAAATCTCCGACGACGAGTCTCTACAGATCGGTTTTCTGTCCGGAACTTGCCGACTCATATTCTCGCAAAGCGCTGGCTTGTCGTAAAACTCTAAGGACTATCTAAAAACGTGCCAATTTTGTCGTAAATGATCTTCTGCACATGCATATTGCGTTGCCGGGAATACGTGAGCATAACAGTTCAGAGGAAAAACTGAGGGATTGTTGTAGACTGGTACGCAATTGACGTCGGCCAGGGAGATATGACGTTTACACAGCTATACGAGAGATTGGTTAAAGCTAACCCCTACTGTGTAGAGAGAAGCAAGCAAGGGCATTTCTGTATCATTGCAATGTTTTGTTAGTTATTGTCATAAAGTAGTGATATGTATAATTCTGCCTTGACTTGTACTGAAAATGATGTCCATGTTGTACCTTGCATGTAGTGTTTTTGACTGAAGGTACTTCATCATGACTACGTGTACTAGAGCTTGTCTGAAATGGTTACACCTGTGACAGTAATACAGTACGAGATGTGTATATCAACATGTGCCTCCTACAAATAAAGACTTCTTGTTGTTTTTTGATACATTGTGTTATGTGGTCCAATTCGTAATAGCAGCTTCGTAGTCCTGTGGTTTTAGCAGGATTTTTTTTTTTTGGCAGGTTTTTTTTTTTTTTCGCCCTCTCGTATTAGTTTGGGGGTCTCCAGAGGATGTCATCCATAAAATTAAATCAGTGTGGCCCTACCGTAAATAACAAAAATGGCGGAGATCAAAATTTGTATGTAGTTGCTGCTCAAGGAGAATGTTACTAGTGAAAATGGTTTCATCTCAAAATTGTTTTTGTTTAGTTTTTTTCATTAAATAGAATGACCCAGCCCCACACTTCTGTATCACTGCCAGTGATCACTTCAATACAGATGTTTATGAAATTAAGAAGTTCTCATTAGATACATAGTTATTTGTTCCAATTTTTTTTATAATGTTTGCTATTTGTATTACAGCTGTTGGTGACCATGTAGGTGAAGATGAAGTTATTTGTGAAATTGAAACGGATAAGGTTTGTCATACATTTATTGGCTTCCAGGAAACTGAGCTATATTTTCATAGCTCCTGTGTGTGTCTTGATGCATAGATGCTCTGGGCTAATGCGCAGATTCGATTAGGTTTTGGATTAAACTATACATATTAATTACCTAATTTGCATGATAATTAGCTAATTTTTAGCTGTTCTATGACTTGTATCCAAAGAACTATTCACTAAATTTTGATGAAACTTGGTACATAGACCATTCACAGTGATTAAACTGAATTTGAAGTTCATTATCAGTAGCATGTCTAGTTATATGGTCATATCTAGAAAACAAAGCCAGAAACAGAAAGAGAGATGAGCATGTAGACTATGGCATTATTAATAATCTTTCCAAAATTGTCTCCACTTAATTAACTGACACCATATTATCTAATCAGTTGAATTCGTGTTTGTTTGTATGTATTATTATTCATTATCTTGTGTGGAATGGTTCTTCAATCCTACAGTAAAATATGTCCCTACATTCAAATCAAATGAAATTCAAATTTGTAATCACTGCACTTATTAAAAACTCTACCATGGTATGTTTCAATGTTGTTCATTACTGTTTATAAACACTGACTGATCTATTGTGTACTTTTCAATGGTCAACTGTGAATATGTAATCAAACAGAAATCTAGCCTTAGACTCCCCTTATCAATATTTGTAAATTGACAATGAACATTTTAAAATGTGTGCACTTAAAGTTTTATCTGAATTGTGTTGTTTTTTCGTGATTGAATTCAAGCAGTGTGGCAACCTCAGACAAGTACATGTATATATTTTTGCCCAGTTTAGTCATTGTTCAATGAATAACTTTGTTTATTTGATTTGTACAGACATCAGTCCAGGTGCCTTCACCTGGTGCTGGCATTATAGAAGAATTATTTGCAGAAGATGGTGATACAGTAACTGCTGGTCAACAACTATTTAAAATTAAAATAACAGGTGAGACTGTTGTTGGTGCATCATTATCTGATTTGCTTGATGAATATTAGTTTGAAAAATTTGATATACATTGACTACAAGCTTAATTTTATTAAATTTATAGGCAATGCACCTGCCATGAAAACAGAAGCAGCAGCACCGCCGCCGCCAACGACACCCTCCCCCTCAGTACCACCACCACCACCACCACCAACACCACCTCTTGTACAGAGCAGTGGTGAGAGTCCTGTAGGTCCTATTCCTACAGTACCCCCATCAGTACCTCCTCTACCACAACAACCAATGTCATCTACACCAGGTAATACCAGAAGGTTTTTTGTAGACTTTAATTTGCAATATGACTGTACTATCTGCTTTCCATCATTGGTACAGCTTTGAGAAAACAAATTTAACTGTTCCATGTTTGATGTTCAGCATTGATATTAAGTATCTTAAAATTATTATTATGTATGTATTTTCCAGTTTCTAATGTAAAGCCACCAGGCCCACCACCCTCAGCTGTTGGGTCTTCTATGCCTGCAGTTTCTATGTCTCCAGTATCGGGTACAAGGTCAGAACAAAGGGTAAGGATAATAAACAATTATTTACTGAGGGGTTTATAAATACCCACATTTAGCAAAAAAAATAAAGAAAAACTAAAATATATTTTAAATAATAAAGATGAGAAAACAAACTGTTTCAAAACAAGAGAGGAAAAACTGAAAACAATATAGTCGGCTATCTCAAGATAAGGTCATGTACATGCATTAGTAATCCAAACATTCACCAACAGAAATATGGCAAACAATCCAATTTACTTTTCTTTTTCTTTTTTTCTACTTGTATTTGCTTGTCAGTTTTTATTTTCCTGTGTGATATGGCATATGAAATTTGCAACTGTGACTAGCATAGATAAAATGAGCAGTGGCTCAAATTTGCACTTGTATATCAGCACTACCGGTAATAATAATATTTATTGCATCTTTAGAAATACGGTATTTGTATCAGTACAGTAGCAATAAAAGTATAAATAAGTATTGCAGGGTTTATTCATGGAGTTTCTTATGTAGTGGCAAAAATAGTATCTAAAATTTTCTCAATCAACATAATTTTGCGAAAATATGCCAATTGGTAATGTATGCTTAACTGCATTTCAAATATCAACAAAACTTCCAGTTTGCCGAGTCAGCAACTGTTAAAGGTATTTGACCTCTTAGTCTGTGCTAAGGAGCTGTGCATGAACGCAACTATTAAACTTATCCCAAATTATTTGTTTCTCCAGTATGTTTATGGACTTGATCATGACTGTACTCTGCTGAAACAGTGGAGTTATTTTAATTGTTGTGTCTGACAGCAAAGACACTAGAATTACGGCATCCATAAAAACCATGTACGGACATGTTTGTAAGTGTACAAACACAATCACATATGAACGTCTTCCTTATTTGAAAAATGTATCCTACTTTTACTTAACATTCAAGTACATTGAATGCATTGACCTCTATACTGTCTTTGTGTATACTAGTACTTTTGCAACATGCACATACAGTTAATATTTCTCCATCTTTTATATTAAAGTATCATTGTGACTAACTAACTTTTGATGAATTAACACCAATTAAACGTAAGTATGTTGTCCCTCTTTTTCAGGTAAAGATGAACAGAATGCGTATGCGTATTGCATATAGACTTAAAGAAGCTCAGAATACATGTGCTATGCTGACAACCTTCAATGAGATTGATATGAGGTAGGTGTGCAACATGTGACAAACTTTTCTGCATTAAGTAGTTCCTTCAAATTAGCTGTTTTAATGGTAAAATCATCCTATTGGGCACTAAAGATTGAATGTGTTTAAGATTTAGCTTTGGAAAGTTTAAGAGTGATTATAATCAGATATAAAATGATATGAAATATATTTTGGCTTTAGATTTGGCACATTTAGATTCTTTAACATTCATTGGGTCTTTTGTATTGGTGTGTTAATACAATCACAACAATAGAAATAAAAGTGGTTTCAACAAAATGAATGATATACTTGTATATTGAATTAAAATCATAAATCAAATTATTGTTATTTTCAAACATTTTTGCAGTCAATGGCTAGACAAAACATGGCCTAGGTATTTTGAAATGCAGTCAACCAAAATTCCTACTGCTGCTACTACTCAGGAATGAAAGTGTTTGCTTATTCACAGAAGGTGCGAGTTAGTGACAGTCTTGGCTTTATGAAGTATTCGGATGTTACATCAACTATAACTTACTGTGAAGCAAGTACATTAATATTTTGAGATGTTTCCTTGCCCAAGCTTCACATCATACATATTGCTTCCCAATCATATATGTATAATTCAATCCCATATAAATGATATGTTTATATTCATTCAAGAAACAACAGTATGTTATAATTCTATTCTTGTAACCTAAATTGAATACAAATGTGAACATTGATTATCAATGTCTCCTGACCTTTTTATATGCATATGCAAACTTTACATACATGACTATCAGGTGTTATTAGATACCTGATTTCATTAAATGGCTTTGAATTCTAAAATTAACTTGGTACTTTAATCTTGTATAATTGTCAACTTTGGTATTTCTGTAGTAATATTATGGAAATGAGGCAGCAACACAAAGACTCATTCCAGAAGAAACATGGTTTCAAATTAGGTTTTATGTCAGCATTTGTGAAAGCGTCTGCACATTCATTGCAATGTCAGCCCGTAGTGAATGCAGGTAAGTCTGTGTATAATCATGTATTACACATTCACAAGTTTCCCAAATCCAGATTCACATGATTGACTTTTTGTTGGTTTTGAATCCTGTTTGTGGTTAGTGCGTCTGTGCGCCTGTTCCACTGATATCTCAAGAACCAATTGTCAGATTTTAATGAGATGAGATAATGGTCAGATCTTATTAATTTTTTGTTGAAATTTGTATATAAATGACCTAATTTGTATATAAATTAGCCAATATTTATCATTTTCACCAATATCTCAACCATTCATTAGATTCAATGAAACTTAGTACATACACATATACATGCTTAGGGGTAAGCTGTATGCATGTCAGTTTAGGGCTTAATTTCGTGCTTACTAATTATCTAATTTTCATAAAATAACCAATTTATAGGTGCTTCACAGATATCTTGAGTACCACTGATTAAATTTTAATAAAACTAGATACATACATGTAGGTGCTTTTAGATAATCCACAGATCTGATTACTTCAGGGTTGAAATCCATGCATATTAATTCCCTGTTATTAGTTTCATGCATGTTTCTTAATATGCATACTTGTAATGTTCTAAGTACTGTTGCAGATAGGGACATGCAACTGGTGCTATAATTTTGTCAAGATATATGATCAAAATATCCTCATATATGGTCATGATTTCATTAAATATTTATATTTATAATAATAATAGCTACTTGGAACCACCCTAATCATTCATTTGCTCAGACAAGTCTATGGTCAAAATAAGACATATTTCAATTATTTTGCATGCAATAAATACAATGCTTTATGTGTATTGAAGATGTAGTATTAAATCACAGTATTCGTACTTCAGCACACGTGAGTTCTAAGCTTTCTTTGATTTCTTCTTTAGTTATTGATGAAAATGAAATAGTTTACAGAGATTATGTAGATATCAGTGTAGCAGTAGCAACTCCTAAAGGCTTAGTAGTTCCTGTTATACGGAATGCTGAGACAATGAACTATGCTGATATAGAGAGAACTATTAATGGACTTGGTGAAAAGGTCAGTGTTCCCAGTTATTTTATTAACTGAGATAGTTGTGTTGTCTACAAGTTTCCTAAACAGATAATATGCTGAATAAAATTACAGATGTTTGTGAATGTCCAGAGTCAGGAGAAATTGTTACTAGCGTTATATTTGGAGAAACATGTCACAAGATATATTGGGAGGAATGTCACTGGGGTTGTATTGGGGGGGGGGGGGTTATATGGGAAGGGAAGTTGTGTAGTTTCTATGGCTTCATAATTTGAACAAGAAATTGACCCTAGCATAGCATGCTAGCATGACCACGCCCATATTTTAGAAACTACACCCACTTTTGTCAAACCATGTATAAATTATAATGCAATGTTCTATTAACAGTTACAAACACTTTGATTAAACATAGGGTTTTGTTTTTGTTACACTTCACATTTAGTAAAATTATTGAAAATTATTTTAAAAAAACAATTTTTTTTCAAAGTTTGAGCTTTGCATTGACCAATTTAATTCAAACATCAACTATATACTCAGTATTATGAGACACAGCTTCAAGGTAGTTTTGTTGATGAAGCACATTTTGGGTGTGTTTTGGGGTAAACGATTAAAAATGATTTTTGTTTTTTCTAAATTTGATTTAAACATATACTCAGTAGTAAGAGACGCAGCTTTAAAAGACAGTATTGTTGTTTGAACCCATTTTAGTCAAAATGGGTTGGATTTCACATTGACCAATTTCATTCAGACTCAGAATATTTACTCTGTTATGAGACACATCTTTAAGAGATGTAGTTTTATGTTTTGAACAGATGTTTTGTTATAATAAAAACAAAATATTGTTAAACTCTGTTACTGTTCCGGCTAAATTGAAAACTGACTTGTTCATGCACTACTTTTTGAACATGGCCTATAATATGTTATGTCTTGTTTTTCAAAGAATGTTTCAGTGCTATATATCTAACAATCAATCAATGACCAATCAAGTTCAAACATGCATACATCATATCAGACATGTGCACATATTTATTTCATGGTCCAAAATCAAATGCCAAAAAGGCATCAATTTGAAACACTTAGAACAATACAATAGGACCTTGATGCACATAATTTTATTTTTTGAGTCAAGTTCAAAATTGCTAATTTGTGGTAATTTTGTTATAAAGAATCCATTTTTGACATACCTGGCTCAATAAAGTTCAAACTTCATACATACACAAGACATCAGACAAATGTATGTGCATTTTTGTCACCATCAAATAAAAATGACTGACTGGCGACCATCTTGTTTATAAGAGTGTAGTTTCACAGAACAATCTCTTACATATCAGTTAACATTATAGCCTTGGTAGTCATGCAATATATATCCTGCCTGTGATACAAACTATGTCATTGATTTGTTTATCCGAAAATATAACATTGGACCACTTCAAGTCATGGCACTTAACATGTAAAATCTGGGAAAGTATACCAAAGACCACCGAAACGATGACATTTTTTTGTTTAAAATTGTAACCATGTTACAAATTATTCAAATGACATTTTCCATTCTCTATGTGCAAGGAAAGGGGGAATATTGTGTCATTTTAGAGAAAATAAAATTACAAAATCTGTTGTCATCGATTTCCACAATACTTTTACAATGAAGAAACAAACATGTTAACAAAAAATGTGCACATTTTATTACAATATTATTTACATACTGAGTTAGCTGTGTGAAAATGATTAGGGTCTGTGGGAAAACAGTCAAAGGCAAGTTTTTCTTTGTGGAAGGTTTTCGATTGATCGTACACAAACCCTTGATGCATAGCAATTCCCTTCATGAAGTTTTTCTGCATGATTTGACCTGAAACAAATTCCTCTGACCTAACCTGACAGGTCAAGTCTTTCATTAACCTTACAAAATGCTATGTCGTATTGACAAAGATTTGTTAATGCAATGCAAGAATTACCGTGATGTTAAAATGTGACCTGTTAAATGAAAAACGGCAAGATTTTTCTCAAAAACTGGTGATCAGCGATTTTTGAAAGATAAACTGAGTGTGGGGGAAGTATCTAACACCTTTCACAGTCATCAACAGCTCACTTTGAAAAATAGTTTTTACTCGTTCATACCCCATTCATGATAATCTCAATGAACACAAATTTTTTTGAAAATTAAAACCATATGTCCAATGGTGTCCAATGTCCTTGGTGTTTCGCAAGGTACCACTTACTTCAGTATTGCAACATTTGGTTCATTGTGAGTAATAACAGAAAAGAGAAAGTGCGAACCATATTGCGTTGCTAAAGATATTTTCTTGTAAAGGCATAAATCAAACGGCTCTTGTCAGAGCCACAGCACGCTTCAAAAAGAGACGACTATACCAATTACAATTGTTCAACTCGGTCTCTGTTCGTCTGTCCATCTGTCCTTCCATCCTTTCATCCTTCCATCCAGAGTTTGATTTCAGAACCTTCTGTATCAAATCCATTCATTCTTTGCAAGTGTTAAGTACTTTATGTGGGACATATACACATGCAGTGGCTTAGAGATTCTATCCAAGATGACAGATTACCAGCCATCTTGTTTTTTGAAAATGTGGTATCTTGGACATGATTTGTCAATTTTACTACATATTGTACTTCCCCAAGTATAAGCCCAGGGGCCTGAACATGTAAAATTAGGGGGTGGGCTTATACTCGAGGACCACCTCAGAAAAGATAATTTTATGGGGGGTTAAAAATTGTAACTATCTTCCCAACCACGAAAATTTATCCAAATTACATTTTTCATTCACAGCGCCAGTCTCTGAGAATTATTACGTCTTTTTGATTTCCACAACACTTTTTACAATGAAGAAACAAACATGTTCATAAAAATACACACATTTTATTACAATACGGTTTACTGGCCGTCAAAAATTGGTAGGGTCTGTGGGAAAACAGTCAAAGGCAAGATTTTTATCATTACATTAATAGTTTGCTCGTTCACACCCCATTTACTCAATGGACATGATTATTCGGAAAAATCAAACGATGTTCAATGACCAGGTTTCATGACTTGAGGATCACATTTTTGCCGTTTAAAACTACTACTCAAAAAATATATGGATTACTTTAGTATTGCAACATCCAGTTTCATCCTGAGTAAATAATAGAATAGAAAGGGTGTGAACCATGTTCCGTATGCTCGCCTGCCATGCACTCTGAAATTAATGCAAGTTTTCTCGTAATAGCAGGAACCAAACAACCATACCAATCATGATTATTGTGCAATGAAATACACGTTTTACATACATGTTTTAATAAATGTCATCAATGCTTGCTAAAACACCCTGGGCCTATACTCGGGGATGCCCTCAACTCATTAAATGTCTAAAAGCAGAGGGGTGGGCTTGTACTCCGGGAGGGGCTTATACTCCGGGGGGGGGGGGGGGGTACGGTACATTATACATGTTAGGATACATGTCCATGACAATTCGTTATACAATCATGTCATAACTGGATAAATGTTCATTTTGTGATTTTATTTAAGGATCAAAGATGGTCTACTGCCAGAAATTTTCTTTTTTGGCCATACTACTATGTCTCATATTTTCATCACATACATTGTGTTACATGCCTATGTTTATTTGTAGGAACATTTCCAAAGGTTGTAATTAAATGTTCATACTCAAAAAATAATAAATATAAAAAAATGTACATAGATCATTTTAGATAACGTGATTGAATGTGGCAGTATTCATGAATAGCAAGATTTCCTCCTGATATGCACATTAGCTTGTAGAACAGATTACAACTATGGGTGTGACTTTAACTGACACTAAAATTGTATATTCTCAAACATACATTGTACATGTACTTGGTATATGTTTGTCTTAAGCTTTGTCTCCATTAAACATTGTTAGAAAGATTGTCATTCGGTGAGACCATAACAAATAAGCTGGCATAAGATGTTTATCGCTTGACTTGAGTTTGGATAAATAAATTACATAAATATGAGAAATAGCAGTTATATATTAGATTGTAAATTTAAAAGTCATTTAATAAATCTGTAATTAGTCTATTATTCACTCAATTACTGACCATACACTACAACATTCAGAAACAATTCACCTGGTCACATGGCCAGTGATTTGCATAACCAATTTGAGTGTATATACCGTAGTTGTCCAAGTAAAAGCCCACCCTCCAATTTTGATACAATAAAATAATTGAGGTCATGTCCTGGCATACGCCCAGGGTGGTCTTTTTTAGCTCCGCTGTCGACTTTGTCGAGCGGAGCTTATCATATGAGTGATTGTCCGTCGTCGTCCGTCAATGTTTTACTTTTTCGACTTCTTCTTGAAAACTACAAGCCTGAATGCTTTGATACTTGGTGTATATGTACTTTGGGTAGACCTCTCTTAGGTTTGTTCATTTCATGTTGATATCTTCAATTCTCTAATTTTGGTGAATATTTTTGTCATTTTTGGTAAAAAGTGATATTTTCGACTTCTTGTTAAAAACCGCAAGTGCAAATGCTTTGATAATACATATATAGGTATACATGTGGACCTCTCTCAGA